CTGTAAGACACTCCGGCCAGCTGCTGGGCAGTAACATGGGACCGGGTGCTTGTGCCCTGGTGCTGGATATATCCATATTCTAACTAAAGTGCCCCCTGGGAAGTGACTGGCTACCACCTGCACAGGGCGGTGACATTGTGTTTTGAAGGCTATTTCTCCCAACCTGGAACACTGGACTGATCACCTGCAGGTCAGTCCTATTTGCACCGCTCCAGTTTTGTTCTAATGGGTTGCTGGGATTGAGGGTAGGTGGAAGGAAGTGAGGGTCCCAAGGTACAGGAGTAAAATGCAGACTCTATTCCAACGCCTAGCTCCCTCACAGTCTCTCTGCCCGCCCCCATCTTTTAGCATCTCATCAGCAATTCTGACTCGTACCCCTCCCCACTTTGGCCCTCCTGGGGTCAGTGATCTGCTCAGTGCTGTGAAGAAGAAACTGCTGCAGGCAGGCCAGAGCAGGAAAATTACCTTCTTCCTTCTCTAGCCCATCCCCTGACACCCTGGCCATTAACTTCTCAACTTGCTGAGCTCATTGGAATGGCATAGAAAGGTAAGGGTGGGAACTCCGGGTTGGGGTCCAGTTCCCAGCAGGGTTCAATTTTTATTTTTTTAGGGTGGGTGGAGGGACGACAGGGAAAGGCCTTCAGTGACAGGGTTATTACTTGTTTGCTCATCACGGCAGCTCTGCTACGTAGATGTCATTTCATAGATGAGGACACAAGTTCAGAGAGGTTTGGTATCTTGCCCAGGAACAAGGCTGGTTAATGGTAGGGCTGGTTTCACAAATGCAAGGCAGTTTAACTTCAGAATCCAGGCTTCTTTACCCCATTAGGCTGCCACTACCTTTTTTACCTTTTTTGTCCCTGTTTAAGTAGTCTGCCCCTTAGTTGTCCTCTGCTGACTTCAGAAAAAATAAACTGGCAAACTGGACAATAGACTTTTGGCCCCCAGACATTGTTCTCTGTAGTGGGCAAAGTAGAGAGTGGAGGATGGGAGACAGGTGATTCTAGGAGACTCTTTCCACTTAGACACCGTCTCCCATTCCTTTCCATCTTGTCAGCATAGTCTGTCTCCGAAGTGCTCCAGATTTTCTCTAAGGCCCATTTGGACCCCCACTTCCGTCCTTTGACCTCATTGCCACTGAAAAGTTTTCCCCATTTGTCCAGAGTTCCTTGCTGATCTCTGTGTCTTCCTCCCATTCCCTCAATCATCACCTCCCAGGACTCCCTATCTTGATCCTGGAATCTTCCTCCTATCCTAGGTCTGCCACAATGCTACTGCTGCTGCACAGAGCTGTAGTCCCAGGGCTTCGACAGGCCTGCAGGTAGGCCATCCATTTCTAGGACTTGTTTCCAATCTCATATCTCCCAACCCCACACCCACCCCTCCCTACCTTTATGACTGTTATCTTATCTGCCAGATAAGATTGTTGAGGTAGTAGCCAGGGAGGAAAGGGAAAGCCACATCCCACTTGTCCCACCCATCCTGGGAGAAACTAAGTCCCAACTGAAGGAACCAATTGCCAACCAGGGAGAGGTACACCCTGGGCCTTCCTCGGCCCTTTCTTAAAATCAGGAGAGTGTGCCACTAAGACCTCTCTCTCTTCCAGACTCAAGTCAACCCCCTCAAGGTTCTGCATTCAGGCCTGCTCTACAGATGATTCGTTTCAGCCCCAGCACCCCAGCCTCACCTTCTCTGGTGGTAACTCCAGCACCAGGGGTTGGAGAGTCATGGGAACCCTGCTAGGCCTCGGTGCAGTGTTGGCCTATCATGACCATCGGTGCAGGGTAAGTAGGGAAGGAAGCGACTTTATTGTCAGAACAAAGGGGGCCTAGTGAACTCCCCAGGCAACCCAGACTTTATTTACCACAGAGCCCATGGACACTGTCTTCGTGTGCAGTAGAGATGGAACCCATTACCTCCATTTCCCAGTGGCCACATTTTGTGGATTGGGTTAGAGTGAGCTAGAGTGATTTCTTCTTAATATTCTGTTCCCTTTTGCTTCACCCCTGCCCTGACTGCAGGCTGCTCAGGAGCCACCACACATATACACGAGGGAGGAAGTGAGATCCCACAGCAGCCCTGAGACTGGGATCTGGGTGACTTTGGGCTCTGAGGTTTTTGATGTCACAGAATTGTGGACCTACACCCAGGGGGCAATCAAAGCTGATGCTAGCAGCCGGGGGTCCTCGTAGAGCCCCTTCTGGGCTCTCTATGCTGTTCACAACCAGCCCCACGTGCGTGAGATACTGGCTCAGTACAAGATTGGGGAGCTGAGCCCCGAAGACAAGGAACCCTCCACCTTGAAGACCTCTGACCCTTACGCTGATGATCCTGTACGTCACCCAGCTCTGAAGATCAACAGCCAGCGCCCCTTTAATGCAGAGCCCCCTCTTGAGCTGCTGACAGAAAACTACATTACACCCAACCCTATCTTCTTCACCCGGAATCATCTGCCTGTACCTAACCTGGACCCAGACACCTACCACCTGTATGTAGTAGGGCCACCTGGGGGTCAGTCCCTCTCCCTATCCCTGGATGACTTGTACCAGTTCCCCAAACACGAGGTCACTGTCACTCTGCAGTGTGCTGGTAACCGGCGCTCTGAGATGACTCAGTTCAAAGAAGTAAGCGGTCTAGGGTGGAATGCAGGGGCTATTAGCACTGCACGCTGGGCTGGGGCACGGCTCTGTGATGTGTTAGCCCAGGCTGGTCACCAACTCTCTGAAACTGAGGCCCATGTCTGCTTTGAGGGACTGGACTCAGACCCCACAGGGACTGCCTATGGAGCATCCATTCCTCTGGCTCGGGCCATGGACCCTGAAGCTGAGGTCCTGCTGGCATATGAGATGAATGGGCAGCCTCTGCCTCGTGACCATGGCTTCCCTGTGCGGGTGGTGGTTCCTGGTGTGGTGGGTGCCCGCCATGTTAAATGGCTGGGCAAAGTGAGTGTGGAACCAGAGGAAAGTTACAGCCACTGGCAGCGGCGAGATTACAAAGGCTTCTCTCCGTCTGTGGACTGGGACACTGTAGATTTTGACTCGGCTCCATCTATTCAGGAACTTCCTGTCCAGTCAGCCATCACACAGCCCAAAGATGGGGAGACAATAGAGTCAGGGGAGGTGACTGTGAAGGGCTATGCATGGAGTGGTGGAGGAAGAGCTGTAGTCAGGGTGGATGTGTCTCTGGATGGGGGTCTAACCTGGCAGGTGGCTGAGTTGGATGGAGAGGAACAGCGCCCCCGAAAGGCCTGGGCCTGGCGGCTATGGCAGCTGCAAGCCCCTGTACCACCTGGGAAAACGGAATTGAACATTGTTTGTAAGGCTGTAGATGACAGCTACAACGTGCAGCCAGACACGGTGGCCCCAATCTGGAACCTGCGAGGAGTGCTCAGCAACGCCTGGCACCGTGTCCATGTCCATATCGCCCCATAGAAGGTGAAATGGAACCATCTACTCTTCAGAATCACCTTCTCAACCCCTTTCCACATCCATCCTTTGGCCTCATTACCACAGAAAAATATTTCCCTCTACCTCTCCATGTCTTGGATCACAACCCTGACTATGCCTTCCTAAGCCACACAAACATACACACCACACATTTCCACCCAGGCATCCACCCTTTCTTTGACACTGTATTATATACTCCTCCTGGCTACTAACCCTGTGCCAGGAGGTGAGAGCTGTTGGAGCAGAGGACCAGAAGTGGGAAATTCTGGAAATAAGCACTATTTTCTCTACCTACCCTATCTCCTTTTCTAATGCTTATCACCACTGAAGCCTTATTTTGCTTTTCTTCTTAGGGTCTTCAGAGAATGTGTGAGAATATGTGTAAGAAAACTGTATACAATTTTTTACTGCCTCTGTAGTTTGCCAGGGGGTGTGAGGGGCTCAACCCTCTCCTTTTATAGTTACACTTTTCTAAATACTTCAATAAAGTATCTGTTTAAGACTACCACTATGAAAAAGCAAAAAATAAAAGGTGACTTCTGGGACCTCTTGAGGCTAGAGTGAGCACGTTGCAGGAGGGAGATTCAGTGGTACTGGGATGTCTAGTGAGACAACCCAAACAAAAGGTGGAGGGGAGGGGAAAAGGAAGCAGTACAGGGAAATCAAGAAATGGGATTTCCTTCTCTGATGTCTGTCGGCATCTGCAGGGCTGCTTAGGTGAATGACCTCAGGATATCCCCCCAAGAGGAAAACATTTTAAATTCGGCATCCTTGAGGTCCTCTTCCCCCTCCCCCGCAATCCCTACACACTTGGCAGGAAAGGCAAAGAATGCTAAGAGGTTAAAATCAATATTGTCTTAGGACAGGCAGAGACAAAACTTGGCACTAAGAGCAGATGTGCTAGGGCAAGTAGGGCGTCCAACGTGGCCTCGTTTGCAAATTAGATGGAGGTGAAGGGGCAGCGATTTGAGTTACGCTCTGCCCGGGACCGCGCCTTTAGGGCTCGAATTTTTCGGCGCTCGGCTACTCTCCCCTAACTCTTCCATCTCTCCCCAGCAGTCTCCCGGGCTTGGGGGCGCTCGGTGTTCGGCCACGCCGCCTGTCGCCTGGTGGTGGGGCCGGAAGTTGTTCGCGGGAGGGGGGAAGGTTGTGATGGGGGGG